GGGGAACCGGCCAATGAGAAGAGGGATGGCTGGGTATTCAGCATTAGTAGGAAAGGGGGGGGTCTTTTTGAACCATCACGGTTTTATTCCTTTTTTACTCTGTTATGTGACGTGCTCTCTCAGGAGGGAAATCCTGTCCGTTCCGGTTCTGTAACCTGGAGGACTGGTGTCTGCGCTGCTTCAATCTTCTATAGGTTGCCGTGGGAACCAGCCTCGTTGGGATGGGGGGGGGGGGTTACCTGTATTCTGTCATCTGTAACGTTGGAGCGTCAGTGAGCCCAGGAGGAGCATACCACCCTATTAGATGAATGAGGGGAAGAAACAGCGACTGCCCCCCCCCCCACAGTCTGTCCTGATTTCCACCTGGAACCCCCTCCCCCTGCCTTTCGATGTTGCCGGCTCTTTAATCCCAGATTCCCCCAGAATTCGACACTTGTGTGTGACTCGAGCAATTTGGCATGCTTGAAAACATCCTGAGTATCTCCGGCTGCTCTGTCCCAGGTGCTGCCTGACTCTCGCTTGCAGGTGGATGGGGGCTCCCCACTGCGAATTTTGTGGTGCGCTACCCTCTGCCGAGAGCACTGGCTTCATGCCACATTGCTGCTCCTCCAGCTGGCTCGCTGGGTGCCCTTGCTGATCCGAGAGGATTCGGGCCTGCCTTCTGTTCCACTTTGGTCCAAACAGAACACATCCGGCTCATCTTCCAGTCACCCTCCCCCGCCACAGCTCTGAGTCGTGCAGGAGCACCAGAAGGCCGATATCCTTCAAGCATTCTCAGAGCATGGATTGCAGGCATGCGTTTGCCGATGGTATAAACCAATTTTTCTCAAACCGGTCCTCGGGGTCCTCCAGACAGTCCACATTTTTGCTCTCTTCCAATTCCCAGGATGTTGGGAGGGAGCAAAAACATGGACCGTCTGGGGATCCCGAGGACTGGTTTTTAGAAACATTGGTCTAAACCTTGTGTAGCCAGTTTGGGACTGGGAAAGGCATCTGGCACGGCCATGTATTCTGGAGTCTTCTCCCAGTGTTCCTCAGGCTTCAGTAGCTCCACACAGGAGCTATTAGACCTGGAGTTATTGGATGTACCTCTGCTGTCCCCACGCCAACAGGACCTCCACACATCCCCCACCCTCCCCTTGAACATCCCCACTGCCCACTTAGGCCTCTCTCCCATCCCTTCATCTCCATGTACTGGATCCCTCCTCTGCTTCTTCATTGGCGGCCTGCCAACTTAATTCACCTCCCCCTCACTTCCTCCCTGTGGCCCCTGTCCGTCCATCCCAGAGCTGACCGAAGCTGCTAAATTTTCGCTATGGGCTTTCCACTGTCGACAGAGGTCGTCCCTCGATGATGCCCGTGTTCTCTGTGTTCGAATCAGTCGATCGAAGGACCACTTCTGTTATTTATTGGAACCATGTTGAACTATCATACGCCTCGTCAACAGGCAGGAAAGACGAATTCCAAAGTGTGTTACGAAACATCACACAGCCCTTCTGTGAATGGTACACTCCACTCTCAGGGGAAGTATCTACGCATGCTTTCTGGTGCCAGATCCCTCACCATTCGCACATTCTGTCTGTACCTCTCCTTAAGGAAATGATTTGTTGTTACTAAAATAAATGTTTTGCCGATTAAACTAGACCATGCCAGGTTGGGATGGAATCCATTACTTCGTACCAGAATTGAGATTGATGTGAATCGTGCTTTTTATAACCCTGCATCTAGTCAATTGGGCCTTTCATACGAAAGTTCATTCTCATTTGTACATGCTGGCTGGTGATGTCGACTTTGGTCCTCATGAAAAGCGCATTGTTTCACACTCCCAATGGCTTTCAGGGAAAGATGTGTAACACAAAACTTAGATGCTGGACTTAAGGAACTGTCAGATTGCACCATCAATGAGACAGAGCTGTAGGAGCTAGAGGGCCTTGAGACTAAAGCGCTTGTTTCTTGGTGAGAGGAGATATTGCCATAGTTACAGGCCGAGGAGTGTGGAGGACGTGTAGTGCCAAGGGGGGCAGCTGTGTCCTCGATTGAATGAAAAGTGAAACGGGAGGGGGCTTCTCAGCTTCAATGTGCTGGGGGGACAGCTGTGCCAAGGGCCCTGTGACGCTTACAGAAGGCTGTCCCTTAGCATTCTTACCTGAGTGAAGATAGGAGCTTGGTTCCTCAGGTTTGACCTCTGGTTTGCTTTGAGAGGCTTTCAGGGAGCAGGAAAGAGAAAGGAACTGTTAGTTCATGGTTGGTATGAGGCTGTGCTTGGAGAGTCTTTAGGTGTAGTGCCTCCTGGGAGGCTTGCAGAGAGACGGAGGGAGTTATGCACTCGGAAAACGGAAGCGTGAAGCACAGCTCAACGCAAAAGCTGCTGGCCGCTGACAGGAAGTGACACGCAAGCTGACAGGAAGTGACATACGGGCTGATGTTCTGTTGGCAACCCAGGGACCATCGTTGCGATTACCCTCAGCCTCCCTGGTGGCATGAGCCTGGTTTTAACAAGGGACTCTGCACGCTTTTCCCTTCCCATCGGCCTTGCTCTAGACTTAATTACTACCCGTGCCCGTCGTCGTTAGCACCTACGATCATTCTGCTCCGGTGTGACTTGCGGGGCTGTCTGCACGTCTCAGCAGGTCTGGGAGTAACCTCGGACAGGCTGAGGAAATATGGAAATGCTTTCCCATTCGACGTGGTTTACGTGGATCACTTGACAGGTCTGACAGCGGAGTAGCATTGGAGTAGCAGGCAAAGAGAGCCCAAACCGCTCACAGCAGTGGAATCGATGTTTATTTCTCTTTGGTAGCTTGGCAGGTGCGTCACGGCTTAAAGAAGTGCATCCTGCCCACGTATACACCTGGGTGTTGGTTTAATAAAACAGATTAGATTAGGTTTAGGCTAGGACATTTCTCAATTTTGAAGATACATGCTGAGTTCAGTCAGTGTTTAAATGGAGATGTTGCACGTATTCCAAACAGTTTGAGGCTTTTTCTGCCTGTGTTTCTTAATTTATGACCCGATTAGCGGAATTAAGGTTGACTTTGCTTCAGACCTCAGTAAAGTTCTTGGGCTCTTCTCCATCTTAAATGAAAGTCTTTGGATGATCCTGGAAAACCTCCGCAAATGAGAGGGGCCGTGGACCTTCCCTGGAGTTTCCAAAAAATTTCATTTCTCACTATGACATTTTTCTCTTGAGGATATCAGTTACTGAGTGCAAAGCTGATTTACTGCTTTTCGTTAACTAAATCGATTTCTTTTGCCCAGGTGTGTTACAGTGGACGACATGATCTGGTCCGGTTCTCATCGTGTCCACCTCGGAGATAGCCGTATGGTAGCATTTGGCGGGGGCTTTTGGTGTCATGAATGGAAGCCTTCGTGATTCTGAGTAGGTGACGAGGCCTGGTTTTGACAGTACGTGCTTACCCCCTCGAATCGGGATTGAGTTGGCACGTCGTCCTAATTAATCGTCTCTCTTCTTGTCAGACTTGTCCTTCTCCTACCAGGTGCTGCAAGTGGCTGATGGCCACTGTGGATTTTTAGACACTGCAGCTCACTGTACCACCCTGGGGCTGTCAGAGTTTGACATTAACACGCTCCCCCCATTGATTGAGGAAAGACTGTTCACTCACGTCTGGTTAAATAAGCTTGCTCCACTGAGGCAAACAGTTCTGAGGGTATTTTCTGTGGCCTAATCTTGTTTCCGGCACCTATTGCTCAGGGGTAAGGGAGCCAATCGCATCATTTGGAGTGGAAAACAGCCAAATGAGCAGCCAATCACTGCACTGGAGTGAGAAACGGCCGAATGAGCAGCCAGTCACAGCACTGGAGTAAGAAATAGCGAATGAGCAGCCAATCACAGCACTTGAGTAAGAAACAGTGATCGAGCAGGCATCTTTGCATGTGGCCAATGATCCTTATCAGTGGCTTAGCGACATTTTCAGAAAGGCTGATGGTGACAGGCTAACTTTCCAGAACTAGCTAATGACATTTACAACATTAACGCTATGTTTTTGTAGGCCCCAACTCTCTGTATATATCAGGGGCTTCCAAGAATTCTCTGTTTTAATTAACAGCTTTGGGGGAAGCATGCATGGGTTGGATCTGCTGGCCTATGCCAGTGCTCAGAGCCCATCGGGGATGACATATCAGGGCCTAGCCCCAGAGGGCAGTCCTAGACACTTGTTACTGATTGGCTGATGAAATTGCGAGAACCGCCTTTTTTGAATGTCACTACATCATTTGCGTCGGCTTAATTTCAGAACGCTATGTGCTGGACGGCGACAGAGTGTGACGTGACATTGGCCTGTACCCTCCGTTCCCCTCCTCGCCAGCAGATGGTAGACGACGGGCGCCAGACAGTCTGGTGTTAGCCATTGAGTACTGAGCTACTAATTGCTGGCTGGCTGTTGAGTTAGGGCAGCCGTTCTGATTGGCTGTTAATTCTGAATACCAAATCTTGTTGGCTTTTTTTTTTTCCTTTTAATGAATATGGCAGTTAGATTCACCTCGTGGAAGCATCAAGTACATCTTAGTCTAAGTCATTTTGTCGATTAACTAATTAAGACATTGTAAACTTCTTGAATGCCCTACATTGACTGCGTATCTGTGACAGCCGCCCAGCCACAATGCTAATGTCGACTTTGCAATGTTTCATTGATTAATTCCCATTCACGTTAGTCTGCAAATAGCTTAGTGTCGCCTCAGAGAGGAAACCAAGAGGAAGGTATCTTAGGAGGTTTGATCTCGGTTTCTTCTTTTCAGAAAGGCCAGCGGTGAGTCGGGATTTTCGCCTGTTTTTCTTTTTTCTCCGGAGCTGGTCTACGTTTATGTCGCGTCTGGCCGTATCCGGCTCATTGGCGCAGGCTGCATTTGAAAGTGATGTAAATTACATATGGGAATGAATTGTCTGATGAAATGTGCCAGAAGGCCAGGCTAGGCAGGTGGAAAGAGGAGATCCATTTGTTTTTTGGACACTCTGAAGCTGATCCTTCTTCTCTGTCTTTCAGGGCGAAGAAGCCAGATGTCGTCAGCTGGAGACGCGTAACGGCACCCAGGAGTTCTCGGGGGGGGGGGGTCTCGAGGGCAGCTTGACAGGCGCGTTGTGTGCACGCACACGCGGTATTTCTCATGCAGCCCAGAGATGGACGCCTGCTGTTTCGCCAGCCCGTGTCCAGCAGTGATCCGCCGTCGTTCGAGATGAGGAGTGCGGCCCAGAGCCCGGCCAGGGCACTGACGTGCCAGCGCCGCTGTGGCGTGTGAGCAGGGCATGGCCTCTCTGGAGCTGCCCTACCGCTGCCCTCGCTGTGGGGACAACAAGCGCTTCCGGAGCCTGGCGTCACTGCGCGCCCACCTGGAGTACAGCCACACCTACGAGACCCTCTACGTGCTATCCAAGTCCCACGCCGTTTGTGACGGAACCGCCCTGGTACCCTTGGTCGGCGACGGGCCCCTGTTGAGCCCGGCCCGCAGCTGCCACGACGCCAAGGAGCACCACTCGCCCTACGACTTCTCACGTGCCGAGGACCTGGGCCTCACCACTGCCGCCTCACGCTATATCCCCAATGTGGAGATCCCGCTAAGTGAGATCTTTATCAAGAAAGCCATGAGCTCAGCCAATCAGGGTAGCACATCGCCGAGCAACGCCGTGGCCGTCGCCGCCAACGTGGCCGCCAGCGCTGTGGAGGCGGCCTACGAGGAAGGGCTGGCCCGCTTCCGGGTGCGGGCGCTGGAGAAGCTGGAACTGGACGAGCGGCTGGAGAAGCTCTCGGAGGAGGTGGAGCAGAAGATCGCAGCCCGGGTGGGCCGCCTGCAGACCGAGCTGGAGAAGAAGAGCTCGGAGCTGGAGAAGGCCAAACAGGAGAGCGTGCGGCTCAGCCAGGAGAAGCAGGACCTGGAGGATAAGGCCTCGGAGCTGTCTCGGCAGGTGGACGTCTCCGTGGAGATGCTGGCCAGCCTCAAGCAGGACCTGGTCAGCAAGGAGCAAGAGCTGACCCACAAGCAACAGTGAGTAACTCACAACCTGAACTCTTAATTTTAATTTAACTCAGTCACCCAGGTTGAGATGAGGGACAACTTGACCTGGGATGTTCCGGTAGGTGTAGAACTATCCTGGAGGCTGTTTTGAGGAGAATCAGGAAGATCTTCTTGCTGAGAATGTGAACCTAGTCATGATAGGTTGCACTAATCGTTTGGGAGTTTGGCCTTAAATCCTGGTATTCATGGATTGTAATTGATTTGATATTGAGATGCATCTCATTTCATGCACAAATCTTTACTAACTTACATGTAATTATTGAATTGCCCAAAATGCTGCACTTTCACAAAACACAGTTGGATTGTTTGGCTGTTAAACCCCGGGGATTAACCCGTTAACTGCTTAAGGCATTTTTTTTTTTCCTCAGGCTGAAAATAGGGAGTACTGTACTTCTGAGATTTCCTTATATTAAGTGCTACATTACTTTGAGGTTTTATAATCAGAAAGCTGTGGTCTCATGCCAGAGACTGTATTGTGTAAAACCGGAATCAATCTACACGCAGCCTCGAGCGTGAAACATTAAGTATTAATACAATAACACCTCGATCTTCAAAGAAGTGCATTAAATTCATTTCCGTTGTTTCCAGGTACATTAAACTTTTATGGCCTAAAAAGGAAAATTATGTTACAAAAGTTGAATAATCAAAATACCTTGTTATTTTTCTGTTCATATACATCCTCTTCTGGAAATGTGGCATAGCATGGCCGGTAAACAAAGATATATTTTATCCTCCGACAGATTTTCATGTTTCACTGTAGGGTTGCATAATGCTTTATACTTGCCGGATCGGTAGCCAGTTTGGCTGCTGGCGTTTGCCAGGGTAGGTCCTCTGTGCCTTTCGAGGGTGGCAGTAGGATTGTGTCAACATGAAGGAGCGGATTTGTAAACCACTAGGGGTTCCAGTAACTGAAAGAGTGGCCCAGTACAGGTCCGAGTCTGGCTGGGGCGTTTCTGCATGTGAGGAACCCCTGTACAGGGGACAGTAATTTTTTACAATCCAGGATATAAAATACCACGGGCTTTCCCAGGAAGATGGGTGTGTGGCTCAGTGGGTTGCAATGCTGTGCCAGAGTCATGGGTTCGAATCCTGTGGTTGGCTGAGTGATGTCACCGTTGGGCCCCTAAGCGAGGCCCCTAACCCTGCTTCCTTAGACATGTGTATCACTTTGGATAAAAGCATCTAATAAATAAATAGATGTCACGTAAATATCATACTTTAAATGACCACGAGTTGCCAAACTTTTCAGCCCACGACCTCCAAAATAACAGTGCCACACCTACAACTGCCATTTTTCTTACTGGGGGGGGCTAGGTTTCGCTATCCGGTGGGGGTGCTTGGTACATTTTGCTGATCAGGTTGGGGTGGCGGGGTCCAGTTAAAATCGAACATTTGTTTTTGAAATCTTACAAACATATTGTGAAAATCATCTTGCGGCCTCACTTTTTGGGAACCGCCGCTCTAGGAAACGCCTTTCGATGCAGATTTAGGCTACATATTATACATATTTGTTTGGCTCTAGGTTCTAGCGGTGCTGGAATCAGGCTCTGCTAGTGAGGTCATCATTTATGCACTGGACACCTGTGGTTCCTGCTGCCCTGCTCCTCAGCGTGTGTGCTCAAACGGAAAGTAATATCTCACATCCAGGTAGTCCCTTCCTTTGGGAAAATTATTCTCCCAGTTTCCCAGTGGGAATCCGGCTCTTTGTACACATGGCATTTAAACTGAAGGCAATCCCACTGTAGTATGAGCTATTATTAGCCTTTTGGCGGGCTCTTTAGCCTGGCATTAGCTTTAGCGAACATTATTAGCGCGCACTCTTTGCATTAGCTTTAGCAAATAGTTTTAGCATGCTCGCATTGCATTAGCTTTAGGAAATAGCATCAGTATGCTCACATTGCATTAGCTTAAGTAACATCAATATGCTCACATTGCATTAGCTTTTGCAAAAAATCATTCTCATGTTCCAATTGCATTATCCTAAACAAATAGCATTATCATTATGCTAACCAGCATGACATTACATTCAAAACAGGATCTTATGTACTGCCAACAACAGAGAGGTAAATGGCCTGTTCGCAAGACTAATAAATTCAGTGAATCAGCACATGACAGGTGTGACATTAGTTGAATTTTAACACATGGTAACAGATATAAAGTGCAGGAACTGTTAAGTGCTACATCGCAGTCTCGGCAGTTGGCGACTGCAAAGCTAAGTGCACCGTCGTTAGCCTGCTAACATTAGCATTAACATTAGCGTAAAGCGATATCAATTTTGTTGGCGTGCTAGATCTCGTGAATGTGTGGGAACATCGTTTGAACATTAAAAGAATCCATGCCTCTGCGTGGTGTAGGAGGACGTGGGGGGGCCAAGGCCCCGGTAAAATGTGAATTTACCGCAGCTGATTTGCGGAGTACCGCCCCGCAGCAGCTGGCAGGCTTTAAGATCCAATCAGTGAATGTGTCTCCTCCTGTCATTCTTTTCTTCTCCAGAATACATGGGTCCACCCTTGTCACCCTCTCTGCCTGTCTGTCCCTCATGCGTATACCCTCATCCGTCACTCCACAGAGTCCTGCTCCACACCACAGTGTTCACACGCTGGCTAACAGTGCAACCCCCTCTCACAACAGAACACGCCTTTCATCTTCCTCACGCCCATCTGTCCTTGCAGGCAGTGACTCTCTCTCTCTCTCTCTCTCTCTCTCTCGCCCCTGCTTTCTCTGAGCAATGTGACAAGTACATGAAACAAGACGGAAGCGGAGTCTCCATTCTTGTATTTCCCCTTAAGCATGACAGAGCATCTGTTTTATTTGCATATATTCCGTTATTTGAAGAGATCTATTAAAATAGTGCAGACGTCTTGGTGCTAAAAAGACTGCATCTGATCAATATGCTCTGGGTGCCCTGCGCACCAGTAACATACACACTGGTGACGTTTTTTAAGAAAGTTCAGACTCACTCCTCTCTGGTATCTTCGCAGATGCAAAGCTTTTAACAGTAAATATGGCTGCTCCATGCTACCAAAGCTTACAGCAGGAAGATTTCACTCGCTTGTGTCCATCTCCTACCAAGTCTGCCGTTCCCTGACCGCAGGGGTCTGTTTTCACCCCGTCCACCAGAGGGAGCTGTGCTGTAGTGGTTCACTGCTAATTCCTTCCGCCTGACTGGCTCAGGATTAGTTCTCTGTCAGTCCTGGCATCGCCGACACACAGTAGATCTGCTTAAGCTCTCTGAAGGTTTAACGACGAACAGGCTGCCTATAACGATTCGGCTGAGTTCATACACCACTATAGCCTGATGTATTTGTCTTAAACCTCTTAATTCTTCCACTGGTTATTTTAGTCTCTGCTGTATTTCAGTGCCTTTCATTTATTTTTCTTAAACTTCAGTCATCTAATTACACAGAACGGGCACCCCCAGAGAATGAATGCTGCTTATTTGCTTACGTTTTCATCCAATTATTACGTTTAATAAATGTGAAGCTATATTTAAGCTGGAGTTCGCGTACGGCAGATGGTACAGGTGGGTGGAGACATCGCTGCCCGCATGCCCGCTTTTGTGGCGATGCCCGTATAAGGATCGTCGTCCTGAAGCCATGTCCACGTTCAGGAGTAGCGTTTGCACTTTGACTTTCTCTACAATGCAAAACCAGATTCCACTGACCCTTTCCCTTCTGGGACAGCAAACGTCCAGGATTGTTACGGAAAGGTTATCAAGGTCACTCCCACGGTGTGATGCTCCTTGATTAATTAATTACCCATTATTCTTGCCATTTGCAGTCTGCTCTTTGTTGTCCGGTTGGCCAGAAAGCCAGACCTACCCTCTGCCTGTCCCCGGAGTGAGTACCAATCAGAGCGATCCTCACCATGCCTCATCTGGTCTCCTAGGTGATGGAATGTTTGAGGACTGAGATACTTCTGCTTTGGATCCTTGTGTCTCTTTTGAAATACCTAACCAAGGTTGACCTTGTTGGGCTGATCTGTGTGAAGCACTAGGAGGATGTGGATGTTTCGGGGGAGAGGTAAGGTAGGATCTAATTTTATTGGGATAAAAAGCAGGGTTGCTGTGGGCATGTTCGAGGAGAGGCTGTGATCGAAGACCCCGGCCCTTATGTCTGGAGATTTTGCTCTTTCCATGTTGTTCACAGTCCCGCCTCATCTCGAGGATGTCTGTAAAATCGGCCCGTTCCATCCTCCAGGTCGCATCCTCCAGCTTTTTAAACAACAGGGTCATGTGGTCCGGCAACCTTAAGCGTTGGGGTCTTATTACCTGAAGTTGGCCCCCGCGTGACCTCCTTGAAGACTGGGGGGTCTGAGTGGCCTGATTCCAGGGACGGGGAGCCACACGGTGTCAGGAAACACGGCACCTCGGCCCGGGGGCCGCCGACATTCATCATTCTCCGATTCCCATAGCGCCGTGGACGTAACAGGAGACTCAGCTGTGCGTGTGATCTGTTTAACACCCCTCTATTGCTCCCATCGCGCATGCCGGGATCTCCGCTGCTTTTCTCCTCATGATTATACCATATCATCCCACCTTTGGTGCCTTGGCCTCGTCACTCCAAAGAGACAGATCTGGCAGCCAACGGTAACACCAGCCTATTTCCTCCTACCACTCGAAGGCCAGCAGAAGGTGGTAAACTGTGAAAACTCCCCAGCAAAGCAGTAGTACCCCTTTTGGGTATCCATGTTGCCCTTCTACTTTGTAGCAAACACAAAAGTGAAGCGTACATGCATGTCTGTCTGGGTTACTGCACATGGGCTTCCTGAACTTGTCCTGAAGGTTATTGGTTCAACTCCCCTTTTCAGGGAGGTGGTGCAGATTGACCAGTTCCTCCAGGAGACTGCGGCCCGGGAGGCCAGTGCCAAGGTGCGTCTGCAGCAGTTCATCGAGGAGCTGCTGGACCGGGCTGACCGCGCTGAGAAGCAGCTGCAGATCATCAGCAGCTGTGGGACCACGCCCAACGGCAGCCTGGGCCGGTGCAGCATCCCGGGGTCGAAGGGCGCGAGCCGGCAGGTGAGGAGGGCGCTGGGTGGGTGGCAGGATCAGCGTGTGTACGGAGACCCAGCGGGGGCCCTTAAGTGGCCAGTACATAAATAAAATATTAACACCATTTCTATAAAATCGCTCATTAGTAACGTGAAATTTTGTGACGTGAGAATGAACATGTCTGCTGTTAAGACATTAACGGCTTTGAGATGCCTTGTTCGGCTGAAGGCTGCCTTTGTGGACTTTGTTGCCTCCGTTGCAGGACGAGCTCAGAGACAGAACCTCATTCGGAATCACTCTGCCTTGTCTGTCTGCTGACTGTATTCCCCTGTTATGGGATCCCTGCTGTTAAATTTCAGAGACGTGAAAATGAACGCACGCTTTGGAGGGGGTGGACTCGTGTGCCGCTGTGCCGTTCCTTCACATTGGGCCCCCACATTGTCCGAGGTTTAAGTGACTTCACACCCTTTCAGACTTTGGGTTCTCTGTTGTCCAACCGCCCCCCCCCTCCCCGAACCACCATGGTGAAAGAAAACATTCATCTATCACGCCCATGCATGCCAGCACACATCGAGTCCTTTCTGCTAGTGCGCCCCCATGTGGTGACGGCTGGCCTAGCTCTCTCGGGCTACCGTGGTGTCTGTCGCACTGCCACAGACCCTGAGAACACATCTCCTGATGCTGCGTCTCCTCCAGAACGGCTCCCAGTCCTATGTGTCGTCTTGCACCCAAAATATTCACACCGGTTTACACATTAAAAGAACGAAAACGGGAGAATTAAGCTCTTACAGTACTGCTTAATATGGAAGGTTTAAAAACATCCAGCTAGGCAGAGCGGAGATGTATGAGACCTTGCAGGACACGAGCGTCCATTTTTACCGCACTCCATATTTAGCCAGGCAAGCTGAGAACCTGTGTTTATTCACAGTAAAAGCCAAATAAAGGTACAAAAACAGCACATTTAACAAAGAACAAAAGAACACCTTCCTCACAGCATCCTGATAAAGTAGCAGTACAGCTGGCTTAACGACACAAGCAGGTGAAATTTGGGTTCGGATTAGGAAGGTATGTGTGAGTAATGTTAGCTCACCTCCTGCACATTGGCTGAGCGGTGCCCCAGAACTGCAAGCGGAACGTAACTGATGGGGTGATCTGGTAGTGGGGCGGGGGGGGGGTCTCGTAAATTAACCATGGGGGCCATCTCGCTGATGAGAAGAGTGGACCGACGTGCTTGGTTAAGTTCTGTGGGTCAATGAAATCTGTGTAGCGCTTCTTAAACGCCTGGCACTAAGAGGGTGAAAGCCTGGCCTACCTTAATAATAATAATAATAATAATAAAATGATGGATCTCCTGTCTTTCCCTCCTCCAGAGAAACTCCAGTGTGTCGGTGACATCCAGGGGGGTGTACCAGGCGTCCGATCACCGGCCGTCGGCCAGCACCGGGTGAGTGTGCGCGCCGCCTTTGCTTGACCTTTGACCTCTTAGCCAGCAGTGTGTAGATCGCTGAGAGTCATCATTCTGGGGAAAGCCGCTTGATTCTTCTACATCTGGACGTAATGCATTCTACTTCCTGTGGCTGTAATTGATTCCACTTCCTGTTTGACCTCTGACACCCCCTTCCTACACTTCTCCGCCCAGAAGCTGCCTCACTTTGGATGAGAGTATCTGCTAATTAACTTAAGTGTAAAGGAATCAGGCAGCAGATTCAGGTGTCCGATGCTGTTCAGATGCGGGCCGGATTTGGATCAGGAGCAGCCCAGGCTAAGCGTTGCATATAATTCGGGTTCCTCCCTCCATTCGACCCAAAAAAGGCAGAACCTTGCATCATGGGGGCTGAACTGGAGTTGCGAGACTGACTCTAGCTGTTTAGACGCATGACCCTGGGCGCTTGACCCTGTGAAGAGGCGCTTGTCAGCTTTGCCCCGGATCAGTTGACTCCCTTGGTCTGTACTGCATTCTGCGCTGGGACCACTGTCTTTCTGACCTGGGGGGAGAGCCATTCTTGACATGCCTGGGGAGGGTATTTAAAACTACCCCCAGGCGCTTTACCCATGATGCCACTGTGTGCTAAGCTAATCCGCTACTCATTAGTTTTGTTTCGACAGAGAGTGGTTTATTAAATGGATGGCGAGCGGGTATTTCGTAACGGCGTCGTTGGGCGAGCCGCGTGGATGACGTCCGCCGCGGTCTGTCCCTCCGCCCCGCTGCCAGCGACATCCCATGATGATGCCGAAGCCCTGAACTCTGCTTTTCAGATCGCCACATTATTTTTAACACCGCTTCGCGTTCGTCTGACGTTGGCCTGGCCTGCAGATGGAAGGCGGAATAAACACAGATCGCCGTGAATAACTTATAAGTGACCCGTCCAATCTGGTGCTCGTTTTGTACGTGTGCTGATTCATTAGTCGAGGGGTCGACTCGACGCTGCTCGGCCCACATCGGACCCGACGGAACGCTTTCGGGTAATTTTAGAAACGGGGCCCATTTCGTAGCGGGCTGAATCCGTGTAGCAGCGTGGCCTGTCATCTGTGAGTTGGCGCCCTGCGGGGTTGCGGGTCTGAGCGTGCGCATGATCGGGCCCGCGGGTGACAAAGGATGCAATGTGCCAGCCAGCTGCCTCATCAGCGCCCCCTATAGGCTGGTCGCCCATCACCCTTGCAAGCACCCCACCCACCCCACCCCCCCTGCTGCTTTCTTGAGCAAAATAAAGTGGTTTCTGCAGGACCCCCTGGGCCCACTGCCAAAGTGGCACATGGGGAAAGAGGGAAAAATAATAATAAAATGTGTGATTTGTGAGATGACTATTGTGACGGAGGTGACAAAAATGCTATTTTGGTGTCTGTATCACGGTAATGAATGTGCACTGGACTGGGGGGGGGGGGGTTGCAATCCTGTCTCCCAAATGAATCATACGGCACAGATGTCAGATTCGCGACGGCTGCCGTTCCAACTCTGATCCACCTGTTGCACACCCCCCCAAATCACGCGTTACTGTACGAGCTGTGGGCGGCATTTGCGAACGGAGCCGCATGACAGCCGGACAGGAGGGAGGCAGGGAGGGGAGGGGCAGGGATTTTATTTGGGATCGGCGGCGGAGATGCACGCGTCTGACGGAGCGGCGGGGAGGAACGACGGGGGAGCTGCAGGAGGGTCACGGACGGGGAACAGAACGGACGACAGGTCCAGGAGCAAACTTGGAGGGGGTCGGGCCTGGGACAGAACACAGAACACAGAACCAAGTACTGTTGGGTCGGTAACAAGGCCCAGGTGAGCTACATGACTTGGGACACCCACCACCTGTCAGGTCCTGGCTGATAATTACCCGCGCTTAGATTGTAGTGTTTTCCTCTGGGGTACAATTCAAGCAGAACATGACTGCAGAACAGAAGTTGACCAGAGATTAGCTTCCAGCGAGAGAGTACCGCGTTAGCGTGCCGTTACACGGCCTCCTTAATGAAGCGTCTCCCTCCGCTGACGGAAGAGGCCCTGATTTTACATAACCCTCCGCGCCTCCAGATCCCTCCCGCGCCGGCGCTTTCTCACGCAGCCCTGCCACGGAGCCTCGGCAAAGTAAACAAACAAAAAAAAACAAATATAAATATAAAACCAGCTATTTGTTGCAGGCGCTGTGGTATCTGAGCCAGCCGGGCGACAAGGTCACCACGCCGAAGGCGACAGCCGTGACAGAGTGCGCCCGTAACCCGGCACGTCCCCGCCGTGCGCCGGGCGGGATGCTGAGATCACTCTCCCTGCTCGGCCCGTGCCGTCGTATACCAACAGGAGGGGCCTGGCACTGCAGGCAGCGCATGTGACAGCACAGAGGCGTCCGCCGGCGTGCCTGTTTAAAAAGCTAGCCAGTTCGTGGGACACGTGGGCATGCAGGTGATTAGAACCTGGTTAGCGTGCACGGTGGGGCAATAGTGTCCTCAATGATTAAGAGTTAACGGGATTGCAGTTACTTTTACCCACTGATCTCCAGGTGAAGTGTTTAGTCATGAATCTCTTGGGGGGAGGGGGGGTCCCAAAAGGGTCACGCCCATGCAAGGCCCGGGACATGGTGAAACCCAACGCGGCGTGATTTTGGGAATTCAGGACAGCCCCCGGCTCCCTAGCTGGCCATGAAACAGCCCGTCCGTAAAGCCCTGGCTGTTTCGAGGTGCACTCATGGCCCTGCATGCGCTGGGCCGGTCCTGCCCGACTGCTGCGGCTCTGTGATCCTGTCATTCCTCCCGTCGACTTAAATGCGCCGGGAACTCTGGCAGAGACGCCTACATGCACCAGCAACGGAAATCACGGTTATTTTTTACAGCAAGAACCCCCAGCTGCAAACACTGGAATAAAAGCGCAGGAAGAGGTAACAGGCCATCTGATTAATGCAGTGACAGAGTCTGACAGGGAAATTTGATGTATTTGTCTGCAGCACTGCAATTAAATCCAGTATGGCCTACAGCTGTGGGCAGATTCCACCACTTACCTGTAATATCCCTTACAGTGCAAAAATGTAAAGTATTAATACTGTCCTGGCACTGTATTTAGAACACTGTGTATACAGGTGTTGCAGTGAGGGTGTAGGATGTCCCATTAGGCAGCCGGATGGGTACTTAAGGCTCTACTACTGAGGTTTTGGAATGATGCCCCCTGGTGGATGTGTGGCTAACTGCAGAAAGCCCTTTAAGAAAAAGGTATTTAATTCAGCGATTGACTGGAAAGTGTATGTGGGGGGGGGGGGGGTTGTGCTTTTTCCTTTAAACATGTCCTCTGTTTTCACTCGATCTCAGTGTGGCTGTTTCGATGCTGCTGTGAATTCAATATTCAAGGTTAAGGTCTGTTTCCAAGGCAACGGCATGTGGTGTCACTGCATGGCGTAGCGTGTGGGTCTGCGTCTGGGAAACATCTGACCCTGCCCCCACCCCGGCCTTTCCGCCGGCAGGGTTTCGGCGCGGGGGAAGTCGGCCTCTCAGGGCTCGGTGGGCTATGACAGCGGCGGGGCAGAGATGGACATGCAGACGGGGGAGGAGACGGGCGACGCCCAGTACCACCACCCGCAGTGCCGGCTGAGCGAACCCGGGTTTGATCGGCCCCGCGGCTGGGGTCTCCGCAAGCAGGCCATCCAGAACTGGCAGCGCCGGCCGTACCGCAACAGCACGGAGGGCGAGGAGGGCGACGTGTCTGACGTGGGCTCCCGCACCACCGAGTCCGAGGTGGACGCCTGGGAGCAGGAACGCCGCTCCTTCCCCGACGCCCAGCACGGCGGCTCTGGCCGGCCCGGGTACCGGCTCGGCACAGGTGACGCACTGGCACGCCGGCTAAACTCAAATAACGGTTTTAATGACTTTGCTAAAAGAGAAAGATTTTCGCAATTTAATTATGCATTTCACGTCCGTAGTTTTAGAATCAGTTTCCAACAGCTCGGGATTATCCGGTGATTTCCCTCTCTAGTGCCCCCCAGTGGTTAGGAGAGCCGTGTCATGTCCTCAAGGGTGGGTTTGTTGTTTCCGGGGCCCCACTTAAAAACTTCCGGGGCCCCTCACTTAAGGGCCGCCCTGGTGTAGTGACAGTTTGTGCCCAATAGGGGTCCCACATTTGCTTGAGGGTAAATACCGCCCCTGGATGTACTGCTCTGCTTGCTCCTCCTTTGTTCCACTTTTCATCAAGTACTTAAAAATGAGTTCCGGCACCTCGGTGTCGCGTCCATATCTATCCGCCCGGCATTGACCTGCCTTCTGGGCCTGGCCCCTGACCCTGTTTGCCAGGTCGATCGGAGGGCAGGTACAAGCCCTGCCGTCACGAGAGGAGCAGCCCCTCCAGGAGTGAGGTGATCAGCCCGGAGGTGCTGAAGATGCGGGCCGCGCTCTTCTGCATCTTTACCTACCTGGACACCAAGACGCTACTGCGCACTGCTGAGGTTTGCCGCGACTGGAAGTTCGTGGCGCGCCACCCCGCCGTGTGGACCCGGGTGCTGCTGGAGAATGCCCGGATCTCCTCCAAGGTACCGATGAACCCCGAAGCCCATTCCTGTGCGGCCCCTACAGCTGTCGGATCTCTCATATTTGATGGTGTAAACATACTCAAGTGTGTGCTTTGAATTGTCTGTCTCTACACTGTTTCTGTACTGTGTTCTGACTGTGTTGTCACTGTGCTGTCTTAGGGCTGTGTTCCAACTGTGCTGTATCTTGACTGTGCTGTGTTCTGTACCAAACTTTTGTGGTACCAACCGAAATGCTCTGATCCTACTGAGGACTGAAAAATTTAGCTTTCAGTGCCAAATTCCAATACCCCAATAGTAAATCTGAGCGTGCGTGAGCCAATGAGCATGCAGCATACTTGCGTCTAAAGATCTAAAGTCACTGGTGATTGGCTGTCTAAAGTAACGTTACACAAACACATCATTGAGGCCGGAAGGAAAAAGGTATGGCCAGAGACAAACTTGTGACCTGCGTGTGTGTGTCTTGTTTTTGGTTGTCATGTAAAAAATGGCTAAGAAATCAAAAGTGTAGCTCCACAAGGTTCGAGACTGCGACGATTTAGTTGCATTTTGGGAGCATTTTTGGAGACAGTGTGACTAAATTTCATAATTTCATAAGCAGACAGTGAGAATTGGGGTGTGTGTGTACGTATGTGTGTGTGTGTTCATCGGAACTCAGTCTGATTCACTTCCTCAGAGGCACTAGTGCTGTGGAGGCTGATTGCTTCATCGCAAGCACCGGCACTGTAATGGAAGTTACGCAAAAATGCAGTAAGAGACAGAGTTGATGGAAATATTTTTGTACCTCAGTACAACTGAATACCTTTTTCCTGCGTCTCCAGCCGGTGCCAAAGCTTATTAGCGGGATAACGTTACATCGTTTTTTATTCTGTGGAAAATGAACTATCGATCTAATAGCCAGATTAAATAATGAATTTTAAACATTAGGTCGTATTTATAAAATATAAATAAAAGGCTGTGTCCTGTTATGATTGCGATCGACCCCCCGGTAACTAACCAATAACTAACAAAATTACTTGTTCAAATAAAAGATTTGTTCTGTAATGTATTTTTGTTGCTGTTGAAATTGATTTTAAAACATACTGGTATCGAAAAAAGTATTGTTCAGGAACCGGTATCGAAATCAAGGTATCGTAAAAGTTTTGAACAATGCCCAGCCCTAATCCCTACTTCCTTGTGTTCTGGCTGTGCTGTATTCTGACTGTGCTCTCTCTGTTCTACCACTGCATTGCAGTTCCTGTGCACTCTGTCTCAGTGGTGCACACAGACACACTCGCTCATCCTGCAGAACCTGAAGCCCAGGCAGAGGGGCAAGAAGGAGACCAAGGAGGAGTACCTGAAAAGCACACGGTGAGCCGGACCACATGCACGCCGTGCTGACATCAGGGGCGTTGGCGAGCGAACGGTGATGTGACCCCACCCACGCCGTGTCACTGCTGCGGCTCCCGTTTTTGGACACGTATGGCTGTGTCACAGCACCTGGGAGGCAGGATTGGTGTGGCTTAGTGTGAGGCTGACAGGGGACGGGCTGGCAGCCTGGGTTTTGATCATGCTAAACACGGCGCTGGTCACAGCTCAGCTCGCGTAGCAGGAGACCACCGTCTGCTTCTAAAATAAGGGCTCCACAGCAAGGAAACGTGCTGTTATGACAGAGCCGAGTTAAGGAATTAGAAATATCCCTGTCTGTGTATGTCTGTCTTTCTCCGGCTTTCCTGTTTGTCTTCCTTTGCCTGCCTGTCTCTTCCTCTCTGCCCATTTTTATCACGTTCTTTTTTCCACCGGCTGGTTCTTTGCATGCCTCTCTCGTCTTCCTTCCATTACCTGTCTGTCATTCTGTCTGTCTGCCTGTCCATTTCTCGTCTTCCTATCTGTCTGCCATCCTTTCTTTACCCATCCCTGTTGTCAGTCTTTCTGTCTGCCTCACTATGTCTGTCTTCTACTTCCTGTGTGTCATTTTTTCTTTGTTTCTGTCTGTTACCTCTCTCTTTCTCTCTCTCTCTCTCTATATATATATATACACATACACACACATATGTATGTACACACACACACATATTCCCTCTCTCTGTCTTTGCATCTGTCTGTTTTATCATCCTGTACCTGTCTCTGTGTTACTTATCTGTCTTTCTGCCATTCTTCCGGGTACCTGTCTCTCTCTCTCTCTCTCTCTCTGTCTGGCTCTGTCCATTTGTCTTTACCCATCACTGTGTGTTCACCCCGATGGTCCTCTTCTGTCCCCCTCGCAGTGGATGCCTAGAGGAAGGCTTGGAGGCCCTCCTGAAGGCCACAGGGGGCAACCTGCTCATCCTGAAGGTGTCACACTGCCCCAACCTCCTAACTGACCGCACCCTGTGGCTGGCCAGCTGCTACTGCCGAATGCTGCAGGCTGTCACCTACAGGTGCGTGCCAGTGACTCCTCTTGCACTGCTCGACTTAGTCACACTGCATTCTGCTCACTGCATACGGACCCTGGTTCTCAGGAGTGCAACGGACCCAGTCGGACAGGAGGTGATCTGGGCGCTGGGGGCCGGCTGCAGAGACATCATCTCCCTACAGGTGGCGCCACTTCACCCATGGTGAGTGTGCAGGGAGGTGGGCCCTAATGCAGCATAGCGTTAGACATTATTTTTCTGGAATCTTACGTGCGAATGGGGTGTGTATCTGTGGATGCTGATTTCCAGCCAGCAGCCAGCACGCTTCAGTAACCGATGTCTGCAGACCATTGGTCGATGCTGGCCACACCTTCGAGCCCTGGGTGTGGGCGGGGCTGGCTGTGGCATGCAGGGGCTGGCCTCGTTGGGTGAGTATATGCGCATGATCTGAGATGAGTTGGGCCATGCTTTTGCTCCATAACTGGAGCAGATTTGGAAACTCCATTTCAGTTTTACTCCATGAGTAACTTGATCACATGATCACTACCACCACACACACCCCCCCCCCACCCCAATCTCTCCCAACCTTGGGTCCTGCAGCCCGAAACTGCATGCGTCTTCAGGTCCTGGAGTTGGACCACGTCAGTGAGATCAACCAGGAGGTGGCAGCTGAGGTGTGCAGGGAGGGACTGAAGGGCCTGGAGATGCTGGTGTTGACCTCCACCCCGGTCACGCCCAAGGCCTTGCTGCACTTCAACAGTGAGTACTTCCTCAGAGAGTGCACACCTTCCCGGTGAGTGCGCACTTTCATGGTGACTAAAAACTTCCTTGAAGAGTGCATGCTTTCTCACTCTCTGAGAGTACACACTTTCTGGGTGAGTGCGCGCTTCCTCAGTGCACGCTCCTCAGAGAGAACACACTTCCTGGGTCAGTACACACTTCTGTTCTCTTTCCAGGTGCGTGTCGTAACCTGAAGTCCATTGTGGTGCAGATTGGGATTGAAGACTACTTCGAAGACCCCAACAGCCCCGAGGCCAGGAAGCTTTTCGATGAGATGGTGAATAAGCTGCAGGTGAGTGGCAGGGGGCAGGACCACAGTGGGGGAGCCGGGGGGCGGGGGGGCATCCTCCTGCTTGGTGCTTTGCTGACCTCTGCAATTCTGTGGTTCTGTTGCCGTTTGGGAGCGAGTTCAGGGATATTAATACAATGTTGGTGGTCAGCACCTAAACTTACAAGCAGGAAAGCACTGCCACGCCCACGGTGAGTTTTACTCATGCATCCTGGTGCACCCCTTATTATGGGATGTCCATCCTGCCATCCTAGCTGTGATTCATGCTAGATCCTTTCTGACACAGCACACTACTTCGGAGAGTTACATAATGCCGTTGCCATGGAAACGGAACGCACCACCTTACCGCCAGAGGGGTACTCCGGTCTGTCCTTCTCTGTGGGTTGGGGGGTCTGAGGCACCCATGTCTTTTCTCCTCCAACAGGCCCTGAAGAAAAGACCAGGCTTCTCCAAGATTCTGCATGTGAAGGCCGAAGGGGTCTGTTAACCCTCCAGGGGGCGGGGGGGGGGGGGGGGGGGCTGAATAATCAGCACCATCACCATGGGACTCCACCCTCCCCACCCCCTCACCAACTACGGGGGGAGGGGGGGGGCGGGCTCGTCAAACAAGCAACACTATGACAACGAAGCCACCAATTCCTCCGTAGTACCGGAATTTAGAACAGCAGGGGCTCCTCCAAGTGGCTGATGATGCCCTCTGCTGGACAGTGGTGTGGTCGCAAGAAGGCCTATAGTATGGATGGGGGGATGGGGTAATTCAGGGCTAGGGGCCTGATTTGAGGACTGCCAATCAGCTGTCAGGGCTTAACTGAGGCGGGGAGATTGTTTGATCGACGTGCGGAATGACCAACCAGAGGAATGACAGCAGTCTTCGACTCTGCACAGCACAGAACAAGTTGGACTCCAGGGATTTCAAAACAAAACAACAAAAATTCCGAGGCAATGCCGTTTTTTTTGCGGACCAAGTTTGAAATGCTTTTTAAAGGAAACAGCACATTTTGGCACACACACATGTCTGGGGGAGGGACAGCTTAGCATGGCCCTGTGTGTTTGCGTGTGTGTGTGTGTGTGTGTGTGTGTGCGTGTATTACACAGTTTATGCTTCTTACTGAACTTTCTTGACAGGATCAAGAGCATTGCAAAAATAATAATAATAATGCACATTTGACATTAATTTCAGTGTTACAAGTACCTGCATGTCTGGCTGCCATCATTCCGCTTTAACAACAATTCACAGCTAGGGGGAGACTTTCTGTTACGTGGACGTGAGCAAGCAGAGACAGCACATCTGCCTGTGTGGGAGAGGGACCGTTCGGAAGCCCTGTCCTCATTCCCCACTGGCAGGAGAAGGCTCGTCAAAACAAGGAGGCGCTGCTCCAGTTTCCCTGCATTCCCAGTCAGCGCTTCCCAGTATAAAACCGAACCTGCAGACTGGGTTCGAGCGTCGCCCATCCCCAGGACACATGGCTATGTGGTTCAACTCTCTCTCCGTCGTCTACGGGCTACAGTCCTTAGGAATTGTAGGACCCCCCCAACATCTTAGGCATGAGGGCCACCCCAGTGTCTCCCACCTCCCCCCTT